CTGAGAAGTGATGTACATCATCCTCTACTCAGATTTACAACTAGTGTTGGCTAATCAAAAGTTGATAACTTTTTTTTTTTTTTGTGGTACCAGCGATTGAACTCAGGACCCTGTGCTTGCCAGGCAGGTGCTTATTCTACTGAGCTATCTCCCCGGCTCCCAAAAGTTGAGATGATTTCTGCAATGAAGAAACTAATACCTTAGCCAGGAATTTGATCACAAAACCTCTTTATCCTAATATCTATCAGCATGTTTTGAAAAAAAGACTGTTGTAATATATTTATTTTAGTTAACATACTGTACACCTCATATTATCGCTAAATCTCTTGAAATCCAAACATTTGCTGCCCTTGCTCTAGAAGAGTTTTGAGGAAAGGTAGATGTTTCTTAATATGGTACTGTATATCAGTTTTAGAGAAATATTATGTAGCAGAGTGGATTTGGAACCAAAAGCCTACTCCTCTTTAGCTGTGTGACTTCCATAAGTTAATCACTGTATGACTTTTCAAAACATTTAACTTAATAGAGCTGTTTTGAGTATTTAAATGGATAGAGTAAGTAAAATATTTTAGCATGATGCCTGACACACAATATTTAGTAAATTAGCTACTCCAGCCTTCTGACATGAGTTCAGGAGCCAAAGTAAGGATCTGTAGCTTCCTGGGTCCTTTGAGTGAATCAGCCTGTACTGTTGTTAATGGCTGTTTTATTATTGAGTTTCTTTTGTTTTTTTCTTTTTAAGGTGGGATGGGGAGAGAGGGTCTCCTTTGTATAGGTCAGGCTGGCCTTGAACTCAGTAGTCCAGGCTGTCCTCAAACTCACAGTGATCCTCCTGCCTCAGCATTCTGAATGGTCCACTATGTTCATTTTTATTACTGAATTTCTTAAACATAAGCCTACTACATAAAACTTTTAAATTATATAAATCCTTAAAGTAAAAATGAATGGATTTGGGTTGTGCTTCTGTGTTCATTTATTCATTTATGCATTTTTTGATTGGGGAGGATGGTTAGGTTGAGTGACTCAGGTCTAGGTGTACAGAGACAGATTTGACCAGGTAATTATTTTAGTACGCTAAATGATTACCATATATTAGAGGAACTTCCTAGGTGACTTATTTATGATTGTGTCATCTACTGAAATTAATCTTATTTTAATTTTTGTTATTACCTCAGTGATAGATGGGGCAAGCTACCGTTATCACCTAAACAAAAAACAACGTTTTCCAAGTGGGTACGACCAGAAGACCTCACCAGCAATCCTACGATGATATATACTGTGTCCAGTTTTAGCATAAAGCAGGTAAACATTTATTTTATAAAATATTGTATGAAAGTTAGCATCTTAAGGAAATTTAAATAGAAACTTGTTTTTTCTTAGGTTTTATATATTCAGGCACATGAGAGTAGCTAGAAAAAAATTACTCATTCTGTGCATTTTGACTTAAGCATTGAAATAATTATGTACACACTGATCAGATGGCAGGAAATAAAAGAGAAATGACAAGGAATGTTTAAATTTTTAGAAATGTATTATAGTAAGGTGATAAAATTGCTGTTAGTCCTTCTCAGAATATTCTCCGTCTGTCTTTGCACATACTTATCCCAGCCTTCTCGCCACTTTCTGAAGTCTCTTGTGTCTTTAGTTGCAGTGTTGGCTGCTTGATATCCTGAAGAGATTCAAAACACTTGCTTTATAAAAGGTCAATTTCACTTTGAGCAAGAGCCAAACCTAGTGAAGAAGGTGGAGGAGAACATACCAAGTGGTTTTTTGTTTTGTTTTGTGTTTAAACAGATTAAAGGCCTTTTAATCTGTTCCTTTTGAAGGGTCTCCCCATTAAGCAGCCAGCAGAGTGCTTTAGCTGATCTGCAGGGGCAGAACTCGGTTGGCAGGCCCCTGCCTCCCCTTCTTCCCCAAGGCTACCTTCCCTGAATGCTGATGTCTCCATGTCTGTCTGTCCATTGTCCTCCTGAGGTTACAGAGTGACCTGTGTCTCAGCTGACCCTTATGTAAGTGTACTGAAGAAGTGTGGAGGTGCACAGCCCCTGCCCTGGGTGCAGCTGAGTGAGGAGCCTGCAGGTCCTTGGGCTTTTCGGGAGCTGTCTCAGGTGGGAGGATGTGGTCAGCGGCCAGCCAATGCTGCTCTAAGTCTGGGCCTTGGTGCCCCATCTGTGACAGAAATAACAAGTGCTGCTGCCCCACAGGATCAGTCAGGGCATGCCCGAGAGAGAGCTCTGTGTATCACTGAGCTGTGCTTTTGGCTTCTGGCACCATCTGAGGGTGTACCAAGCAGAACGCCAGTAGCCCATCTGGTCTGGAGTCCTGGGTGCCTGCCAGGACTACAAGGAGATGGGCCCTAACACTTAGCAGGTCCTTTTAGATAAGAACTGTGGCTGACGGTGGGGATGGCTCCTCAAGTGCTCACTGCCATGGTCATGGATGCCTTGGAAATCCACTCCTCAGTTTCCAGGCTACTGTCCCGTACTTGTTGCAGTTTCCATTCCCAGGAGTCCAGGGATACTGACGCTCTGCTTGGCATGTGCTGACATAGAAGCCAGTGGGGCAGGCTGGGGAGCTGTGGCTCCTTTGCTACACATTGCTGCAGAGGGCACCACCAGCCTCCAGATGAGGTTTTGGAGCTGAGCAGGGGAGGAGAGCTCTGGAGGAGTGATGTCCAGAGCCTTGGCACCAGGTCCCAAGTTTCCTTCAGGCTTTGCAGAACCTAGCACTTCCTGTTCTTGATGAATTCGTGTTTGTCAGGGCTGTAAGCACAGCGTAGGGCATTCCAAGAAGAAAGGCCAGAGGGTGGGAGGCTTGTCCTAGTGTCCATGCCAGCGCTGGTCCTGGCCTGACTGGAGGGAGGAGTGGGTAGTGCTCACTGCTGCATCCCAAGGGGGAATCGCTGGAGCATGTTGTGTTTCCTTGACAGTCTGTTGGTTTCCCATTCCCAGATATTACTGGTGTTGATGAAAGATCAGAACTATCTGGAATCCAGCAAATTTCCAGCCTTGCTGGGATTTCTCATTCAGAGTTGCCTTTTCTGGTGAATGACCATTTCTCCAGTTCTGCTGCAGAAGTTAGGGTGGGCAGTGTGCAGGTCCCCCTACCTCCCTTCCGCCCACTTTAAGAAATGCCCTGAAAGCCCTTTAGCAGTGATGGTGACCCTTTTGGGGCTTTCAGTGATAACCGCCTGCTGCGGCATGGGTGCCATTAGGGTTTGTGTCTAGGTGTCCACCCAAAGCCTCCTGCAATCCTGGGGCAGCCTCTGGAGTTTGTGGTGGATTATTGTGGGTGTGGGTGCTGCACCTGCCCTGGGGCAGATACCTTGCATTATAATGTAAGCTAGTTGCTTGAGCTGCTGCTACCTCTTTTACTCTTGCTGTATGCTGCCACCATGAAAGGTTGTTCTCTGCCTTGTGCAGCTGCTAGACATAGTTTTTTTTTTTTTTTTTTATGAGTCTGCCTTTCCAGTGCTTGGCACCCAGCGGCAGTTTTGATCATATCTTGTAAAGGCACCCACAGAAGAGGACTTCAAGAACTGCTTCAGAAAGTGGCAAGGATGATGGGGTGATGCGTTTGAAGCAAGTGGAAGTATTTTGAAGGGGATTAGTGGTGATGTGTTTTTAATTACAATATGTTTTTAAAATTTAAACACTACTTTTTGTTCGTGCTGTAATTTTTTTGTTGTTGAGAATGTTGGGTATATTCATAGACAGTACGGAGAAGCAGTGCCACAAATGAGCAAGACCATTCCCATCAGACAAGGAGAAATGACATCTGTTCATATTTCATGGACAGTGCTGGAATATAAGGATTATTTTACTTTTCAGATATTCACACATCTCAAAGCAGAAGCATCCTGCAGTTGAATGCCTAGGTCCTGTAACTAACCTTGGTGAAGTTACAGCAGAAAAGTCACCTGTGAAATGTGGAAATGCTTTGTATGTGGGGATATTTGCATGTAGCACAGATAATTAACGAAAGGTTCTCAGCCTCATTTTTTTTTTTTTTTTTTT